CTTCCTTCCTTCCTTCCTTCTTTCAATCTTTCTTCCTTTCTTTTTCGTATTTACGTGACTTTTTTCCTATCATCCAAACTGACAGCTTCGAATCCGCAGTGCTAACACACATAAACTAATTATAAGATAAACAATCAACGAGGCCTTAAGTTATAGGGTAAGATCATCTGATACTGATTAACACGAACCCCCTCTTAATGCTGATATTGAACTAGGCTCCTATTACACTCCATTACGCGTTCCAGGACAAGAAACAACTCCGTCAAACCAATCCTTGGGGGAATTCTTGTATTGCCTTAAATGTCCACGATATTCCAGGAATGCTTAAATAAATAGCAACAAATTTGATATTCCTGTGATATTATTTTTCACGTTTAGCCGCGCGAGAATTATCACATAAATAAAGAAGATTCGTGCCGTTTTTGTGTCCTTCCTCGATAAAAGTTCTTCCGTAAAGTGAAAGAAATATTTCTTTCAATATATAGTACGTTTTCATATCGTTTTCTATATGATAAACACCAGTAAACCAGAGGCATTTGGAATAGTCATCACTCTGATGTGAGCCATTGTTCTTTATACAAGCATCATAATGGGATAATGAGTTTTTTGAACAAACTCTCAGAGCTTAAACCGCTAATTCAAGATAAACATCCAGCAAAAAGGGATCATTCTCTCGTTACAGTATCGCTTACGGTACGAACACAATTTGTGCTGTATATTTTGAAGAATCACATTAATTACTGTCCATTCGCGTCTAACTCGTAGTTACTCTTCATGAACATCAGGTACAGGTAAGCAAAAATCTCTATACAGTATTATTTTCAGTAGGAACTTATCTGGTTTCTAATACAATATCAGCTTCGTTGATAAAATTATGAGCTATAGCAGCTTAACTGAACTGTTGGGAATTTAAACGAAAGCATGTCATTGCGTAATTAGGTAACCATTAGACGTGAGATATAATTTAAAGACTTAAAACAAATTTTCTTCGTAAAGTAAAGTAAGAAGAAGGGGAGAAAATCCTCAGTAATTCCTGGTTATTGTTTAAAATTATGATACTAGACATCAGATAGTTTAGAATCTCGCAATGCTATCATAAAAGGATTTTCAGTCGTAGCCAATCTTATTCTTATGTTTGTTCTTATGATTGTCCATGAAATGTTTGAAGTTCAGATATACTAAGTGTCTCGTAAACCTATCAGCATAAAGTAAATAGTATAAACCCACCCCATTAGGCAAAGCTTGCCACGGGTACCAGCATAACCTATAGAATTAAGAGCTTATTGTGGCATTCATTAACACTAGATAAAACCTAATAACAGATGCTTTTTTTTTTTTACAACTCCAAGTTAGTTCTTGCATGTCTTCAATGTTCTCGCTAAGTAAAAACAAAAAAACAAAAAAACCGCAAACGCTAGAGAAGAGAATAAAAATTTTATGTTGCGTCGGCCTTTACTAATACTTGTGTCGGCTCTCATCCGGAGAGAACCAGACTTTAGCTCTAATGATATATTTATAAGAATATAACACATGTGAAAATATCAGATTTAGTAAAAGTCTCTGCTCGTCAAGAAACAGCTAGATACGAAAAATATGTAAACTATATATACGAAAACTTATAACTTCTTTCCTTGGCAGAAAGCCGCACTGTTCCTAGTACCAGTAATGGCCTTCACTATGCGAGGCAACTGAGTGCTAGGGGGAACACTTCTAAAAAAATTTCCACAAAGCGAATCAGTAGTCTCCTTCACAGTTCCCTGCGCCATCTTGAAAGGTAGCCTTGCCTTTGCATCGCAGCAAGACGAACGGTGAGCTTGCAATGATAGAGACATGTGAATAATTGTCCAAGGTGTTAAAAAAGGCCTCTATCAATGCAAGCTCACCGTTCGTCTCGCTTCGATACAAAAGCACGGCTACCTTTCAAGATGGCGCAGGGAACTGTGAAAGGGACTATTTCGACAGGAACCAGATTTGAACCATTTATAAGGGATACTTGTATATTTGTCGCCCTATGCGAAAGTGTGTCCCTGGTATCGATAACTGGCCATATGAATGTACACTTCACCAACCTTCTTATTTGACACTAAGATTTGTTTGCTCTTTTTTCTTTGCTCTTTTTTCTTTGCATCAGTTTGTACATGTAATTTTTGCCCTAAACCCCCTTCGATACACCGGCAACCAATCGAAATAGAGCCCTTGCATGGGACGTCAAAACAGCTCGATCTGGGGGACAAAGCAAAAGAATTTCAATCTCCTGAGAATTGGAACCTATTGTTTTGTCCCCCATATTGAGCTGCATTCCAAAGTGCTGCAAGGGACAGGCACCGCGGAGGGGGAGGGGCTGGTAGGGCCGCGGCTCCACCACTTTTTGCGCTAAAAAGAAAAATAATTAAAATAAAAACAAAGACTTAAAACAAGTCAAATACTATGATTTTATTCCTTTTTCGTTTTTCAATATGATAAAATTATTTTCAATTGTCAGGCCCCCCCACTTTTGAACATGCTCCGCGGTCCCTGAGGGGTCTATATGGCAAACAATTTTACATGTGAAAACGCTTTGTGTTTGCAAGTGAACACGAGACTAGTAGGTCCAAAACAGTAGTTATTCAAATTGGTCGGCATATTTCGATTCAGAGTATATAGATATTTTGAGAAAGAGATTTCTGTCTAATTTGCAAGAAAACCTTTCTTCAACGTATACGTCCTTTTTCCCTTCACGAGTACTTCCCGAGCACTTTCCGAATACAATTCGGCTCAACCCACACACGCGTTGGTGAGTTGACAAGCGGCTTTATCCTTCAAAGCGCAGAGAAAATTCACTTACGCAGACTGGACTTCATGTTTATTTTCCTTGATATTTTTCTCATTCAAATTAATTCATGTCCATTAAAAGGCTGTTTGCTCTTTTGATTTATTTCGGACATCAAATCAATCATTTTGAACACAAATAATTGCCTATTTTTTTAGTGACATTTCATTTGAAGTTTGAAGTATGAAGGCGCCTCTGTGTCTGGTACWTTTTTACATCCACAAAATGAATTATTCTCAGTTCTTAATTAAAGATTCCTGGTTGTTGTCGCCATAGGGCTGCCTACACTTTAAGTCTAAATTGAAATTTCTCATTGTTATTGGCGCCGTCTCAGCGCATGAATTTTATTGAATATGGTAGCAAGAGAAAACCCGGTCTAGTCAGTGTCCACAGACCTGTACTGGAAACAAGGCAGGAAGGAAAATAATCTGTTGTCATTTAGCTTGTGGCCATGAGCGGTCGTTTTAAAATAGAATCTTTACGGAATCTTGAACTGAAAAAAGCAAAAACAAAAACAAAAAACAAAAAACGAATAAGTATCTTGTATTTTCTATTTAACAATTTCAATAATATMTTTTTTCATTCTAGGAATCATTATCATCTCTACACTTAGTTCTACTTTTATTTTCGTTCTTCATCTCTACATTGTTTCTTTATTTTATTTATTCGAATTTAGTTTCTCGGCTTTTTTACATTTCTTCCCTTCTTTCTTTTTCTTCTTTAGTTTTTCTTTCTCGGCTTTCTTCTTCTTCTTCTTCTTCTTTTTTTCCTTCTTTTCTTCCTTCTTTCTTTCCTTTTGACTTTCTTTCCTTCTTTTTCTTTCTTTCTTTCTCTCTTTCTCTCTTTCTCTCTTTATTTTTCTTTCTTTCTTTCTACTTCCTTCCTTTCTTCCTTTCTTTCCTTTTTCCTCCCTCCATTTATCCCTCAATCTCTTCCCTATATCTCTTATTAACTTTTATTCTATTTCTTTCCTTTTCAATTTTCTCCATTCTTTTCWTTCTTCCTTCCTTCCTTCTATCTTCCCCCTCACTTCTAGATCTTCCATTCTTCTCAATTTTTATTATTATTTGCCTTTGTTGAATTTAAATATGACTGACATATTTCAAAGTTCAGTACCTTTCTCTTATAATATGTTTTAAGTGTCCTTCAATTGACTATCCGTTCAACGGAAAACATCGTTAATGATTAGCCACAGTAACTATACCATTAGAAAATATCGAGAAAAAGGTTTCCCCCCAAAAAAGAACATTAAATTACGCGAGATTCAGTTTAACTTTTCTTATATGATTATCCGAATCATCTCGGATCATCTCTCAAAAAATCTTGCTTTTTAAAGCTTGGGTGATTACCAGGTCAACCTTTAGAGCAAGAATCGCAGTCTGTAATGTGTGCATCAGTGGCGGATCCAGGATTTTTCAAAGGGGGGTTCCGTTTCTTAAACTGTGTATAATTCTCTTTYGTTTAGTCGATGTTTGCCAAAAAAATTGGCTCTAATCACCTAACTTACTATCTAGTAACGGAACTTAAAGGTAAATTAAACATTATAACAGCAAATATCTATCATTTCGTGTTCAACATCATCTTTGTGGATACTTTTAAGCAAAATTTATATAAGACATATTTCTATTACCTAAAAGATCAAACCTTCAAGGGGGGTTCCGTGGACCCCTTCGACCCCCCTGGATCCGCCACTGTACATTTTCAAGTGCTATTGTTGTTTATATTTTTAATAGCTTTAGAAATCTCAAGATATTTGGTACGCAAAGAGCACGTTTTGTGACTACTTWAAGTGGCAACTGATATTGGTCAGATAGAGATTAATAAAACAATAGGGTTGTTGAGTATTTTTCGAAGTAAAACGCAAATGAAAAAGATACAGGCTTTCTCGCTTTATACCACAAATTACTATCTCAGAGTTAAGTCAAAAAAGGCTTAAACACGCTGGTAGGAAACTTGTTCTGAAAAGTTCCTTGAGCTTGGCAGAATAACAGGTCTCAATTKATGCAAAAATCCTAACAAGGTATTCATTATTTTTGTTCTAAATTCTGTCAATACATTTTCATATTTTTCTACAAAGTTTTTCAGTATTCTGTTGAAAACTTTCGGTTCTTTGTTATATTTGTTTAGTTGTGTACGTATAACAAGTGATTGCGGTTTTTATGTTTAAAAAAAGAAAATCAAAATAACATGTCGTGTTTACATGTAAGGGTTGTGAGGAAAATAATGATTGATCTTTGATTCGAGTGAGCTAGATATCAGATTCAGTACTAGTGATAAATGACAGCTTAAATAAGAAATATGTTCTAGTATAAGGTTCTAGTTATGGAACAAAGCTTTTAAACTCGGTTTTTTCCTGAGGTTACATCAAACAACGAGCGCTAAAACGGTTTCTTCACCGTTTTTCAATGAACCACTTATTCCTATATTTAGCCTATATTGTTGGTGTTAGTAATCCCACTTATAATTGAGTCAAAGCCGGCAGCAGATTATACTAATTGGTACTGTATCTTATAGAAATCTTATTTAAATATGGCCTGATCTTGTGGTGTTGTACCCAAAATGTTGTATTCGACTCGGACCAAATATGATGTTGTTTGAAGCGAGTATATAGAATTGCTTCAAATTGCTTCAATATCAAGATATCGTGGCGTGAAAATATGATAATAACCTGGATACGAATGGACAGAGCTCGCATGAGCACTTGACCGTTTGTCGCCGTATAGCATATTTTCATCATGAGCAATCAAACGCGTCCCGGGGAACGTTCAAATCCGTCAAGACTCAAGACAAATCTCCTGTGTCCGCGTTGCAAAGGTCTCTCCCCGGCTCTCAGTAAGAGATGTCATTTTTCTTCCCTTCCAACATTTCCACTGGCTAAGTTTTTATTTTTCGCTTTGACGCATTACGCATTTCTAAAAACAGTTCCCATTGTCTTCTTTCTGCTCTCTTACCTTCGCTTCGCGCATTCTTGATTTCGTCACGTAGTACAAAGACGTACGTTTGCATGATGGCGCCATTTGACTTCCTCTACCAACATTTCTTGCACACTCCCTTTTATTCTCGTTAGGAAATACGAATTTCAATAAGAAAGAAAATTCGCGAACCATTGTACCTGAGCAGATTGACCAAATACATTTACAGTAAGGTTTTTCTACCAAGAGTATTGCTTGGGCTGCCTGTGGTAAGTTTGAAATCAGACCAACTTTTCAAGGACATATCTTTTCTGTTTACAAGGAAAGTTTAAAGTATTTTTCGCATGGTTTCTCTTAATGCAAGGGCTTAAGCTTCTTGAATCGCGTTTCCGGCGACTTCCAGTTACAAAGCACAGTAAGTGGACTCTATTCTCGAGAGTTCTTTTCACCACTAGTCACGGCGGCGGATTGTGTAGGTTCTTTGAGATTTCCTAAAATATCTAATTACTGTGGTTTGCCTTAAGAGGAAGTGCTCAAGTAGAAAAGTAAACATAAAAAAAACAGATTATAATGTGAGTCGTTTATAGGAAATTATACCAAGACTGAACGAACAAACGAACGAACGAACGA